GGATATCACGTACCTGTTCGCTCTCTTGGCATGCGCTGCCAGTTTGGCGGGCACATCCGGCTCCTGTCAGCGGGTAAGCCGGCTCCCACTGCGTAGCGAAGGTTCTTTCATGTCCACTTGAGCTAGGCACCGCAGTTTTACCTCAGTTCTCTCCGGACAAGAAAGCATGCCTGAAGAGCTCGATAACGTGGGGCAGGAGTTTGGCGCACACAGACGGTGGCAGGCGGTGCGACGAGGAGCGTACAGTGCGACTCAGGGACAGTGGCAAGCCCCCTAGGCGTCGGCCGCCAGGTGGATGGAGGTGTGGCCCTCGAGTGCTGTGAAGGGCAGCTCACGTCGTCCAGCAGTTCCGAGTCGGTGGCGTCCGCTAAGCTACTGAGCGGTGAGCTGTTAATATTTTGTCTTTCAAGTCTTGCGGCGACTAAATGGCTATTATAAGCATACATAACATTATAGGATATATTATTTTATTTATTTATTGATATATATAACAATCGCGCTGTACATAACACTGTGACGCTTTCGTCTAACATGACAATTTCGCATCAGCAAACGTGCCATTTAGCGTCTCACGCTGAGCGTCTAATAGATATATGAACATGCCTTGTTTGGTGTTTACTGGTTTTATTAACAAATGCTACTGTTTTTTTATTTTTATATACGATATAGGCGCTACTCTAAGGCGTACATTTCCGCTAGAAGATGTTTTATGCCATCGCCGAATGATTTATGTATGTGCTACCATTGGGGCCAATCTCATGCGTGAGCGAAAGGGATCTTGCTTATATGATATGTGGACGCTCGATCAGTCTTTTGGCATCTATATATAATATCGTTTGTTTCGCCGAAAATGGCAGTGAGGTTTATTAACGCGGCACAGCGCCGCGCTGTTTTTATAAATTATATTGCAGGAGCATATTATAATCAGCCAATAAGATTATGTGATTTATATGCTCTGTTATAATGCTGCTGTGTGGTTGAGACCGTGCGCACTTCGAGATGCTTGCTGCGTAACAAACTGCGTGCCCATCTACGGCGTAGTAGATGGAAAGTTCTGACCGACTGCTTTTCTACCGGCAGCCCTTGCCCGCCCACTTTCAATAACCGCTGGCCTATCAGCAGTTTGATTCAACTGGCTAAATGCGATGTCGCTGTTTAATCGCGGGTGTTTCCGCGTAATTGCATGTCCGAATTTGACATGTATATACAAATAATAAGCAGAGCTATAATTAAGCGTATGTTGCGTTTAAATGTTGGGCCGTTGCTGGCAATTGCTAATAATCTTTTCGTAATAGCTGTAGCTACCCTATCATCTGGCACGTCCTGGTTCATTGTCGCACAATACACGTGGTCTTAAGGTATACTATATCACCTCAAGGTCAAGTTATTATTATAGTTATGATTCTCATATATTTATGGAATTGAAGCGCCCGTCACTACATATTTGCTATACATAATTTGGCTGTGGTAAGGTGTTTTCGATACCATTATAACAAGAAATTAAACGCCGTATGAAATTTCGCCTCTGCGTGAAATAGCAATCCGACGCTATAACGAAAAGCGTAAGCGTGCGTCGCGCGGTGTGTGCGTGCGGCGTGCGTGCGCGTGCGTGCGTGTGTCGTGCGTGTGCGTGCGTGCGTGTGTGCGTGCGTGCGTGTATGTGCGTGCTGTGCGTGCGTGCGTGCGTGCGTGCCGTGCGTGGCGTGCGTGCGTGCGTATGGTGTGTGCATGTGTACGTGTGTGCGTGCGTGCGTGCGTTGTGTGCGTGCGCGCTGCTTGCGTGCGTGCGTGGCGTGCGTGCGTGTGGTGTGTGTGCGTGCGTGGCGTGTGCGTGTATCGCGCAACGCGGGTGCAGCTGTGTGTGGTGCGTCATGTGTATCGTGCGTGCGTGCGTGTGGTGCGCGTGTGTGCGCGCGTGCGTGCGTGTGTGCGTGTGCGTGTGCGTGTGCGTGTGCGTGTGCGTGTGCGTGTGCTCGTGTGTGCGTGTGGCGTCGGTGCGTGTGCGTGTGCGTGTGCGTGTGCGTGCCGTTAAATTTTTTTTATCTTTGGAGGGTGTGTGCTGTGGTGCGGAGAGGAGGGAGGGGAGGGTCGCGGGGTAGCATACGCATCGAAGTCTGCCGGTGCCGCGCTGGGTGCAAAACCAGCGATTGTAATTCATTCTGCGTGCATTCATTTCTTCGTACATCGCGCCAGCGTCTAATAGCCGTGACGCGATGGCCGTCAAATAACCTGAACGTCGGCGCCGTCCGTCGCCAGCAATCGAGGGCGAATACCTGGACGGTGCCAGAACAGTCCGTCTCCGGCCGAGTCAAGACGTTATTGCATCAGCAGTGCTGCGGTAGCTCGCGTGGGACGGCTGCGACCGCTGGGCTCTCGATGGGTGCGTGGCCGTCTGACGAGGCTGCGGTCGACGCCAATTAGAGATCGTAGGCAGACGCTCGGCCATGTGTAGCAGGTGAGGGTGGCAAGTAGAGAGGAGAGGGAGAGCAAGGAGAAGGAGAGAGGCCCGAGGGGGAAAAGGGGGAGAGGGGAGAGAGGAGGAGAAGGGGGAGAGGGGAGAGCGAGAGAGAGCGAGAGAGAGATGGAAGAAAGAGGGAAGAGAGAGGTAAGTGCATGTGAGAGAGAGAGGGGCATAGAGAGAAAGGGAAGAGGGAGAGAGAGAGGGAGTGAGAAAGGGAAAGAGAAAGAGGGAGAGAGAGAGAGAGAGAGAGAGCAGAGAGCGAGAGAGAGAGAGAGAGAGAGACACAGCCACACAGAGAGAAATAGGTGGCGAGCGTTGGAAAAATTAAAGTGCGGTGTAGGGGAAAGTAAGTAGGTATATGTCAAAAGAAAAGAAAAGCATACCCAGGTGTGTGTTTGCGAGAGATAGAGGAAGGAGAGAACAGTGGGAGAAGGAAAAGAGAATGGTGAGCAGATATTGACAGTGGTTGCGTGTGAGAGAGAGAGAATGGAGGAAGAGAATGGTGGGAGCGATTACGAAAAAATAGCCTAGAGAGAGGAGAAGGAGGCGAGAAAAGATAAAAAATAAGCGCTCAGCTAGGTACAGACTGAAAACTGCCGAAGGTACCAAGAAAGCGCCGGGAAGGTATGTGACGGTGGTTATTTGCTCTCTTCTACCGTCTAAGTACGGAACTTCGCTAATTCTCAATTGTCATGTCGCGTATCGTAGTTAAGGCCAATCCAAGTGACTGTGTTTGTGTTTTCAAGAACGAGAAGGTGCGGGCGCCGACAGTTGTGCCGCGGGGTGAGCATACGCATCAAGTCCGCCGTCCGCGGC